TTAAGCGAGATACTACGCAAAATGGAGGGTGCGACTATCTTGGATTGAGCAAAAGCCGTTCCGTGACCTGGACAACAAGTCCACTAGTTCTTGACGTAGTGGGAAAATCAATGCACTGATGCAGTTTATGGACCTATCATACTGGCACCTTCTAGGGCCGTGGTTGAAACCTTCCACTACCCTACAGGAGCTTCTTGCTATCATCTTGACGGAGTTTGGCCCTATGCAGAACCTATTTTGCAATTCTGGACAGGGCTCTCATATTTATCAGATCGCTACCTCGCTTAAGGGACCTGATCATTACTACCGTATCCTCCGGCTTCGTGAATTTAACGAAGTCATGCCTCGTGTCGCTATATGGTTAGCCTGCCGTGACCTGGGTGATATCAGGGTGCTGAGGTTCATCGTGAAGCTGCTGGCCGCGTGCCCCTTGGTGCTAAAGCTTTCTTTTGGGAACGTGCTCCTCGTAACCTAGCCTTGGAAATACGTGCTGACCTCTTGCGTGCCAAGGCTAAGTCTGAAACGAAAGCTTCAACTATTGCTACTGTACCTGTTGGAGATGGAGAAGCTACTCATTCCATTACCCAGCCAAGTGTTGACCCGGCTACCCAGCAAACGGAGTCGTCTGTATCAGATCCGGCTGCTAAGGACGTTGTTGATGGTGATGCCCTTGAGGATGTTCTACCTAAACCTGTGGGACCTTGCGTTATTTTTATTCCCGCACAAATGAATCTATCACAATAAGGAGGATGCCCATAATGAGGATGGCGAGCTCAACGACTGGGATGACGGTTTCGTGTGGGAGGAAACTCTCAATGTATGGGCCCCTGATCGTCCGGAGATGTTTTACCGTGACCCCCGTACTCGGGCGTGGAAGTGTACCGCCCCTAAACGTCCACATGACAATGACTTCGTTGCTAACGACATGTTGTTAGCAAACCTTCAGAAGGTGCTGACCAGGACTGCCGCTCTAAAGCACTTTTCGACGACGGGGCTATGGTCTATTGGAGACGGTTGGCTATTGCACATCATTAGACTGATTTGCTCGCTTATGCCCATATCTGCGTCAAGTTGCATATTCGGCTTCGCGCTTCTAAATGTCATCTCATGCTGTTGCGGGACGCTGCGAATATCTACTATGGTCGGCAAACTATTCATAACTACACTACCATTACTGAGGCCCGCTTGAAGGCTATAGTTTCTATGCCAACACCGGCTGATCGTCATGAGGTTTAAACTTTTTTTTGCTACTCTTTACTGGTGGTGCCAGTATATACCAAATCTGGCTACTATGATGGCATCACTTTAATACAGATTTAACAAATAAAAATACTCATTTTCATTATAATGTGGCGTGTCATGCATACTATACTATGATTAAGGAAGCTATCCAGGGTACGATCATGTTGGTCACACCGGACCCCTCCCATTGTTTGCATATGTTTGTTGACGTCTGTTCTATTGGAATCGGCACTGGCATGTTTGTGCGCATACCTAGGAAGGGTGAATTGCCAACGGCATTTCCGACTGATTGGACTCAAACCACTGAGCTCTAAGCGGATGGCTGCCGTTGATTCTATCTTGCAAAAAAAATATTTAACCAGCAGTGTAAACAGACAAGTGCGTTTGTCCATTTACCTGATTTTCCTGTGCGTCAGTCACGGACGGGTCTCTTACCTATGAAGCGTCCCTCTACACCACCTGTTGCCAATTTAACTTTGCCAGCCCATAAGCGTATTCGCTGTACTCAGGAGCAAAATTTTGCACATAGAGAACGATTGTTTCTAGCTCGTGCGCGTAGATATTCCTGTCGTACAACTTTAGTTACAGACCAATCACAGGTGGTCGACCTATGCATTGTTGGTTTTAGTATCAATGGTATTGGTCGTCTGTTCTCCTTCTCCTACCGTAGTATGTCGCTCGACTCTGCTCAGCGTCGTTACCATTTTTCAGTCCTTGGAACGATGGCTATCGCTTATGGGGTAGACAAGGATGTGATGACCATAACGGCAAATTGCAACTACAATGTTTTAATCATTTGGACGGATCCTCAGAATGTCCTAACATTCTTTCATTCCAATATAAATTTCCCTGGAACAACTCCGTCGTCATTTTGTGAATATTTGTCATATACCGGACAAGTGTATTATGTTGCTGACATGCTATCTCGTGGCCCTGCCCACTTGGACCCTATCATATAACTTGTACATAAGCATGTTACATGGGCCCCTACCGTGAATATCCCTACAAATTCACTACGTGTGGCTACCTACTACCACACCCTGATGCCTATTTGGATGAATTATTGTTGAATCGCACGTTGGCTGCGATGCTCTTCCAAAAATGGGGGGGGGGGGTTTCACAGATCGATTTATATGCCAGTCTGCAATGCCATCAGCTCCCTCGCTAATGTGCTAAGTTGGGGGGTACTGAACAATCGCGAGGTAATCAATTTGACTTTACTAATATTTTTACTCGTTAACCCTCCTTGGCCCAATTATAAAGAGTTCTTTCGCCGCTTTGTTACACAACAAAGTATTGCAAGGCGATTGTTGTGCTGCCATATTGGACAAGTTGTTTCTGGTTAACCAGATTCGCCCACTCTTTAATCACATAGCTCTTTATAATTTTATCTCATTCGTCCGATACTTTCTTAAAGAATGGTACAACTCTTCTTGGTATGCCCTCATGGTCTTATACCTTGGCTGGACTCATCTCAAGTGTTCCTCGTACAAATGATAAGTAATACACGCTGTCTGCTTTTTTTTTGCAGCAGCTTGGACCTACGGATCCAATATTGTTGGGTGTGCTGATTCCTCAGCCTACTACTACGGTTCATATTATGGTTCTTACTCAGTGTATTTCAGAACTTATAGTCAAATGGACGGTTGGAACTTTGGCGCCAATTTAATATCTCTTAAGAAATATTAATTTCTAATAATAGAATCATCCAATTGATATTTGTAGTTTTGAAATTTTATTGGCCACTTCAGAAAGTAAAATATATAAACAAAAAGGTTGACAGTCCGTCCCCAGGTTGGTGTGGTAAGGCCTTACTAGGGATCGGCCTGAGCTTGGTGTTATTAATAATCAAATATTTTAGTTTTAAAACTAAGTTTATTATATATTAGTTCATAAAAACCCAATTTCTTTTAAAAAAGAATAAACATAATAACCTTCAACCTTTATACTGCGAGCCTTCTCAGATAGTATTTTATAAAGGAAGTCTATTTACATTTAAAGGTTTAATATTATATATAACTTTAAGTTGTATAATATATATATATATATATATATATATATATATATATATAGTAGTAGTAGTAGTACGTGGTAGGTAACGTAAAGGTAAGTAGTACGTACTTCGTTACGTTTACGTTTTCGTTTTACGTTTAGGTAGGTTCGGGTTCGGGTTTAGGGGTTAGGGTTACGGTTTCCGTCCCGTTACCCGT